CCTGTTTTTTAGCGGGTGTTTTGTGGGCTGCGGTCCTGTATATCTCGCAGAGAGCACTTTCTCCGACTCGGCTGCATGCCATGTCGTACTGCTACCCTTTGGTTGCAACAGTTTTGCAAACCAAACTTTGCAGTGGGTCGTGGTTTGTTCACTGTCGGACGCCCACAAAACGCAAAACCAGTTCGCAAACAACCGACGACACTGTGCCTTTTTGGGGACGAGCTCATCCTGGTTTCGGGCTGCCATGTTGTGTGTATCTGTGAGAAGTGGGAGGGTCAGGCGCACTCTGACCCTACGGAGCCCAAAGAGAGCGCGGTGTTGTGGAAGTGTCAAGGGAAAAACTAAAATAAATCGTGTTTAAACTACGAATTCTAATTAATGGATAATCCGATTTATCGCCCCAGCCCTAACCTCTTTGTAATACTCCACAAACCAGTTATAGTGGAGGTACAACAAGAAGCTTTCCCCAACTGCTGAAGAAATTCCTGGAAGAACTGCTAAAAGCCAATTTGTTTTTCATTTTAAGAGACCTGTGCTTATTTATCTCTTTTGTATATTCACGTCTTTTTAATAAAGCAAAATAATTTTCTTGTCCAGAGCACTGGGTTATCGATGGTCGAATACTCTGTTAAATAATAATAATCGATAGCTGTTCAGTTTTGCTGTATTGATGGAAATAAGCTATGGACTAGATGTGCATATTCTTTGCCTTGGGGCTAGACAGTGCTGTGCTCGTTATTTGGTCTTATTTTCTGAGGTCTTTTTGCTTCCAGCCAGAAAAGTAGCATCTGTGTTAGACAAGTACTGTTTCTTTTCAATGTGTTTGTGCATTCAGCCATATTGGACAGTTAGTCCAGATTCTCACTGTTGAAGTGCCTGGGGGGGAGGTGATCATGTGGTGTGCAAAACCTGCTTCCCTCCTTCTCCGAATGTGAACTCATCAAGAATGGCGAATTAGTCACAGATCTATAAGTGGTGTGTGTTTTATCTTTAAGGCCTGTTGTGGAGGTAGAGTTCAGTGTGTGAGACTGGAAACTAACTTGGATCTATTAGAGGCCTTTAATAGCACAACCTTGTGATCGGTGCCTTTTTTTCCAAGAACATTGTTTGTTCCCCAGTTTATTTTAGTCCAGAGCATTTCCTTGATTTTTTTTTTTTTGGCCTTGTTGTTGTCTTAGCAAGCCCTTTGTGTGTAACTTGAATGTGATGTCCCTGATCTGCCTGGGAGAGGAACATTAATGTGGGATGGGACTGAGAGCGCTGGCGTAGTGGAACACAAGTCCCTGCAGGCCTGCCAGATGACGGCTAAACCGCCCCCCCCCCCAACCCCCCACACACACAGCACACACCACGCACACACACACACACCCTCCACCCCTGTCCGCCCACATCCCTAAACACTCCCAGGTCCTGAGACAGAGTGGGAAGACAAAGATCTACAAGAAAAGAACACACAAACGCACGCTAGAGCCAAACCTAAACTTCAACAATATCTGAGCTCTTCTGAATACAGTGCAGGATCTGTTTGGGTGTCATTTTTGAATGACGAAAGTCTTTAAAAGAGTTAACACTTATACTTTTGAATGAATAAATATCAGTAATGTTTGTTGTCAGTAAAATGCGTGGTTAGCTGTGAGAGTTAGATAGCCCAAAACACAACTGTATTTTATGGTTAACTGCATTTTTAGCATACCTTGTTCACTGATTTATTATATTATATTTATAGTTTTAAAACTGTTGAGTAGATGATTTGTCATGTGTGCCTCGATTTATTATTGAATCATTCCTTTTAACAAAAGGAATCAGAGCTCTTTGATACATTTTGATATATATTCGTATGATAATGACAGTATATCATTTTCTCTCTCCAGAGAGTCCAGCGAGGAGTGCAATGGGATCAGCGGTGCTCTGTCAGTGGAGTCTGTGCCGGGGCCAAGACTGAACTGGTGTCCTGCCAACACCACTACTCCTGCTCCAGCTCCAGCTCCAGCTCCGGGGCCCGAGCCCACGCCCTACCCTGTTAGAATGGGGGACGGCCTGGATGCAGCGCAGATGTCGGGCAGCAGCAGCAGCCAGGGGCAGGCCCAGCATACGGGCAACCCCCCACCCCCAGAGTACATCAATCCCGACAGGCCAAAGCGCCAGACCAATCAGCTGCAGTACCTGCTCAAGATGGTGGTGAAGGCCCTGTGGAAGCACCAGTTTGCCTGGCCCTTTCATTCACCAGTGGACGCAGTCAAACTTAACCTGCCTGTGAGTGTTGATTTTGTCTCCGTGTAAAAACAGTTTATGTACACATTAGGCATCACATACAAATTGCCACCAGGTTATGTGCTTCTACACATTTCAGTTGTACATCTGTATAAATCTTACATATTGATTAGAGATATTTTATGTTTTTTACTATGTGCAACTGGGTCTTCCCTTCTTACATTCTCTGATTGTAATAATGTGCAGCTATTATACACCAAATCAAAACAAGTTTTTTTACATTTTGTCAACTGAAATGTGCGTCAAACGTGCCTGCTGCCTTTTCCTCTGTATTTTGCTGAATCTCCACATTTTTCTTTTTCTTTTTCTTTTATTGCCTTTGATAGATAGTGATAGCTGAAGAGTGAAAGGAAAGGGGAGAGGGAGATACTATGCTGCAGGGCTGAAACGATTCAACAAGTGCCCTAATTTATATTATTCCTGAAAAAGTATATAAATTAGGTAATTTAACAAATAGTTTGAAGCTTTGTTCATACTTTTGATATTCAAATCTTAAATCAACATTCAAATGCGGTGTGGGCTGGGACTTTTTCCTCTGCCCTCTGTATAAAGCTGCAGGTCTGTGTGTGCAGGACAGGAGTTGATTAGGGTACACTGGTTAAGATTTATTTAGATAAAAATACTGACAGGATGATGGGTGAAATCCAAACTTAGCTACCTACTTCAGTTAATAATAACATTGTTGAAAAAACTAAGTATTGCTTAATTGAAAGAGAATATATGCAACCTTTTCAGGACTACTACACAATAATCAAAAATCCTATGGACATGGGAACAATCAAGAAAAGGCTTGAGAACAGTTACTACTGGAATGCCCAAGAATGTATCCAAGACTTCAGCACGATGTTTACCAACTGCTACATATACAACAAGGTAATATACACTGAAGCCATTGTTATCATTAATTGCCAAATATTCTGATATGCCTCCACTTTTGCTAAGAGTGTTTGTCTCCCCCTGCAGCCTGGAGATGACATAGTCTTAATGGCTGAGGCTCTAGAGAAGGCTTTCCTCCAAAAGGTCTCAGAAATGCCTCAGGAAGAAACTGAGATTGTTGTCATGACAGGAAAGGGACGTGGCCGGGGCCGCAGAGACGGAGGTACGCGATTTGTCCCTTTACAATATCTTATTCTGTAAACTCATGTTCTTAGAGCTGGCCTCTGTGAGACAGGATATTTATCCAATCTTGTTCTCTCATCAAGGTCTGAACTTGAAACCAGGGGCCATCATTGATCCTTCGTCCACGACTCCTCAAACGCGTGGTCTGTCAAACCTCTCAGCAGCACCGCAGACCAGAGGACCAGTGCAGGGCCCGCCTTCACTACCTCCCCAGCCTTTGATGCAGACCCTGCCGTCCCACACGTCCCACATGCCCCCAACGTTATCCAGCCATGCTCCACAGCTTGGAGCTCCCTACTCCTTGGGCCAATCAGACTGCACTCCTCAAGTTCCCATCATGACTTCTGTGCCTCCCCCTGCTCAGACTTCCCTTCCCCCAGCATCCATCCAGAGCACTGCCCCCATGCTGCAGAACCCTATAACCATGACCAAAGTGAGTGTGATTGACACAGGGATATATGCTTGGGCAGGTGGGCACATTTTTGACCATGTTTGTGAACATAGACAGGTGTGGTTAAGTTTTGGCATCTCATTGTAATAATTTATTTCTTTGCCATTTTGCCCTATTTGTCTGCTTTCTTTATATTCACTTCTATCTAGCAAAGAAAGAGCCAGAAAAGGAAAGCAGACACTACAACGCCCACAGCAAATGACCAACTGAGTGAGTCTTCACCAGCAGAGTCCAAATCTGGGAAGACACTACCCAGGCGAGAGAGTACCCGGCCTACAAAACTGATGAAGAAGGATGCTCCAGACTCTCAGCATCACATAGGCATGGGGATGGGACTTAGCGGACCAAGTGGAGGTCATAGCCCCAAACCACAGGATCAGCTGGGTTACTGTGCTAGTCTGGTTAGAGATATGCTGTCCAAAAAACACGCTGCTTACGCCTGGCCATTCTACAAACCTGTTGATGTGGATGCACTGGGACTACACGATTATCACGATATCATCAAACATCCAATGGACCTCAGCACCATCAAGGTGTGTTGAAGACTGCCTCGTTTGTAAACGGTGCCATAATATATTGAAACGAGAGGATTTGTGGCATGGCAACTAATTATTATCCTTGATGTGTTTAATAGGTCAAGCTGGAGAACAGGCAATACCGGGAACCCCAGGAGTTTGCTGCTGACGTACGATTAATGTTTTCCAACTGCTACAAATACAATCCACCAGACCACGAGGTGGTAGCTATGGCACGCAAGCTGCAGGTAAATATAGTCTAACATGCAAACAATGTTAGTTAGAAAAAGCAGTAGTACAAATGACAGGCAGTTCATCAACGTAGACTCAAATGGATAAGTTGAAATCAGCCATCATGGTTTTCATTATTTCATTAATTATGAATGTATAATAGTCAATACAAAAATGTTTGTAATCCATGTTTTATAGTTACAGGGTATTATTCTTGCAATGTATTAACTGCCCTGTGTTGTAGTGTTACTGGGAATTAGGTCTGTAATTCTAATTATCTTTTCATGTATCAACTGACTTACAAGCATCCATTTTCAGAGAAAAGTGAGCAATAAATTAGAATGTATCACTATTTGTTTTAGTTTACATTTGCAACAAAAATCTGTCTTAAAAATGTCTGTTTGTTGTGTTTTGAGTGTTCCTACAAACACACACATACATCATGCTTTGCTTGTTTTGTTTCTTTTCATTTTATAGGATGTCTTCGAGATGCGATTTGCCAAGATGCCAGATGAACCTGAGAGCAAGCCTTTGGTTTCTCCCCCAGCTCCTACACTTCACCATCCTGCCCCTGTTAAGCCCCAGCCTCCTTTGGCCCACGTTGCCTCGTCTTCAGACAGCTCTAGTGACTCGTCCTCTGAGTCTGAGTCTTCCACGGATGACTCTGAAGAGGAGAGAGCACAGAGATTGGCAGAACTCCAAGAACAGGTCAGTGACCAAAGAAGGTTTGGAGTGGCTGCAAATTTGTAGTCCAACCCTTGTTACATTTGTTGAGAACTGGTCTCTTCTCTTCGTACAGTTGAAGGCTGTCCACGAGCAGCTAGCTGCCCTGTCCCAACCACAAGCGAGCAAACCAAAGAGAAAAGAGAAAGAGAAGGAGAAGAAGGAGAAGAAAAAAGAGAAGCATAAGAAGAAGGGAAGTATGCCTTCTCTTGTAGATGAGATCCAGGATGCTACACCCGTTTCTCAGCTCTCTAAGAAGACCAAGACAAGTAACAATAACAACAAAGAGGTTGTTCCCAAGAAGAAATCCAGGTAGGTTTTACATTTGTGTAAACTTTCTCTGTGTCCTGCAGTCAGTTAGAGCAACTCCTGGATATTAATGTTTCTTTTGCCATTAGCTTGCCATTGCACAATTCATTATTACCCTTACTCATTTTGTATCCACCTTCTTATGTATTTTACCTTTTGTAGTAAAAAGGAAGGAATGAAAAGCAGTCATCCCTCCAACCTGCAGTCACTTCCCAGCCTGGAAGATGACCTGGGGGCAGCTGGGTCATCAGCTACAGGGGAAAAGTGCAAGCCTATGACATATGAGGAGAAGAGGCAGCTAAGCTTGGACATCAACAAGCTTCCTGGGGACAAGCTTGGCCGTGTAGTGCATATCATCCAGTCCAGAGAGCCCTCACTCAAAAACTCAAACCCTGATGAGATTGAGATTGACTTTGAGACGCTAAAGCCTTCCACTCTGCGTGAGCTGGAGAGATATGTGTCTTCCTGCCTCCGTAAGAAGAAAAAGGTTCCAGGTAAGTCCAGTAATAGGAACTGATCAGTCTTTGGAAGCGTGATTCTCTAGTTCATTTAGAAATGTGACATAAGGAAATTGCTCATAGTAATTTCACATTTAATGCTTTATTATGAAAATGCATGAACACATCATTGTTGTTGTTTTTCAGTTGAGAAGCATGTGGAGTCCATGGCTACCTTCAAAAAGACTGGATCCTCTTCAGAGAGCAGTGGCTCCAGCACAGACAGTGAAGCTGATGGGACAGGTGATTTGCTGCATATTTGACCACTCAAAATTCCCATAATCGAGAGGACAAAGTTCATTACCAAATCTTTATTTCACTTATTTTCAGGAATAATAAAGCAGCAGAAGAAGAAGGGCCCATCTGTGAAGGAGGGGAAGAAGACGCATCTTCACATTCAAAGCGGCCCTCCTCAGGCTGTGCTTCATTCCCAAGCTGCCGGCATTCAGTCCAGCAGTCAGTTGAAGCAGCAGCAGCAGCAGCAGCAGCCATCTCCTACAGGCTTCATAGTTCCCCCTGTAGCTGCTCTGGAGTCTTCCCAGTTACTGGAGACAAGCTTTGAGTCCCTGCCGCCTTTCGGCCAGCCCCTCATGCATCTGTCTCACCATACCGGCAACTCCTCATCACCTGCACCTCCACACCTCAACGCTCATTCTGCTGGTCCAGTGTCCCCTGAGACCCACCCCTTCCTCAACCAGCATCCCATCCTCCCATCTCCAGGTAAGACTGTATGCAGGCTACTGCACTTTTGACTGGTCCAATACTAATGAATAATGAATAATGTCTCCTGCAACCCCCATGTCCCCATGCAGTTTTCAATATTGGCACACATCAAGTCTAGATATATAGCAGAATAAACATTACATTGGTTGATTAATTCACCCTTAAGTGTCCCAACCACACATAAATGTCTACTTTAGGGGAGATAATTTTGTGACAACAAATACATATTCATTATATTTTCTTTCTTCTTTCTTTCCTGGAACTATGCATCCATAGCTTTGCACAGTTCCATGCCTCAGCAGCCTTCTCGACCCAGCCACAAGGCAGCACCTCTTCATCCCAAACCCCCTCAGCAGCAACCAGCACCTCCTCAGCAACAGCAGCCACCCCTGCAGCAGCAGCAACAGCAGCAACAACAACAACAACCACCGCAGCAGCAGCTCCAGCCCCAGTCAGCAGCACCACCACAGCACCAGCTCCCCTCTCAGATCCTTCACCCTCCTCAGTCCTTGCACCAGCGGCCCATGTCCCCTCCAACACTCACACCCCAGGGCTTGCTTTCTTCCCAGCCTCCCCAGATGCTGCTGGAGGATGACGAAGAGCCAGGCTCTGCAACGCCTTTGAACCAAGTACAATTATACCTACAGCAGTTCCAGCAAGCCCGTCAGCCCCAGCAGTCCATGCAGTCGCTCCAGGCGCAGGCTCGTCAGCAGCAGCAGCAGCACCAACAACAACCACCAGGACAGACCTCTCTCCTGCAGTCTGTCCAGGGACAATCTCAGCTTTCCTCTCAGACCACACTGCCTCCTCCACATCTCCCTGTTCATTCCCAGGCTCAGCCAGCCCCATCACATCAGGCCCCGCCCCAACAGATGCCTCTACACCAGGCCCGCCACATGCAGCACACTCAGCAGCAGCAACAGCAGCCACAACAGCAGCAACTGAACTACCAGCAGGGTCCTGGACTAGCTGGTCAGTCCCAGACAACACAACACAAAATATCCATGCCCACCAACAAAGCACAGCAGATCATCCAGCAGCAAGAACAGCCCTCCCCTCGCCCGACCAAGGCAGACCCTTACAACACGGGTGAGTCTGAGAAGATCATACAAATATGTATTGCGTAACTGGTTGTAGAAGCAAAAACTGTCCACATGAATAATGTAGGCTGAAGACTTACACCCCTCTCTCCCATTGACAGGTCTCATGAGGGACAACCCTTCGCCTCTCATGATGCATTCCCCTCAACTTCCCCAGTTCCCACCTGTGTCTCACCAGTCTCCACCTCACAACATGCAACCCAAAAAGGTGAGAAACTTGCAAAGGTTGGACACAGTATTTTAGTGGGTTTAGTGCAGCGTTTACGTTATGTCTCCACATGCCTGTGTCTGACTCTGACTCCATTTGCTTGTGATGCAGCAGAGACCCCCTGGGAGTCAAGTTGGGATAAAGGAGGAGAAACTCCCTCCATCACCAGTGATGAGAGGAGAGCCATTTAACCCTGCAATGAGACCAGACCATCACAAACATCCTGACATCAAACCTTCTCAACCAGGCCACGGCCAACAGAGTGAGTACCAAGACTTCCTGTTTTTCCTTTCTGTGGTCAAAATGCATAAGAAGAAAAAGCTGCACAAGATATTGAGACTATGCTTGTTTGTTTATGTGTGTGTATTGATGTTTTGCAGATGTGAAGTCTATGGACAGCTCACGACCTGTCATCCGCTCCTCTGAGCCCAGTGGGCCGCCCTCCTCTCTGCAAGACAAGGATAAGTTCAAGCAGGAGTCCAAGGCGCCCATTGCCCCCAAAAAAGTACAGGTGGGTGCAGTAAACGCTTTTTTAATCTCATACATCTTTTTCATTTCTTTGTATAGGAACTTTATGCGATTGCATCTTGCAAGATATTTGATTGGATCATGATTGATCAATAATGTGGCTCTCCTCTCTTTGTGTATGTTTTGTCACAGGATGTGAAACTCAAGAATATGGGCTCATGGGCCAGCCTGGCACAAAAGTCCACATCTACGCCCTCATCTGCAGTGAAGTCATCGAGTGACAGTTTTGAGCAGTTCCGTCGTGCTGCCCGGGAGAAGGAGGAGAGGGAGAAAGCCCTGAAGGCCCAAGCCGAGCAGGCGGAGAAAGACAGACTACGCAGAGAGCAGGACAAACTACGGTAAGGTTGTCTAGAAAGAAGACTGGAGAAAAAATATATAGAGGGCTGCAGTGTTTACCTCAGGAGGGACTTGTTAAGCAAACCTTCAAAGAGCCTCAACTAACTAAAGAAATCAGATATTGTATCATAACATCAACGCTGTTAAGGTCTCAACATGTAAAGCACAGCACCAGGCATAAATTAAAAACTAAAATGTACTTGGATGACTGCAAATGTTTTCGTGTGGGTTGCCAGATGATCAATAAGACACAGGAAACCCTATGAGGTGACATATTATGCCCTCTAGTGGCCATATTGTAGGACCACAACAGCAACTAAGACGTGAGTAACTAAAGCCTGCAGGGGGGGTTGTGTCAGATGTCCACATTTGAACCAGAAAATATTAGAATCAGTGCATTGGTTGGTGGAGTGTGATGTCAGTCCTCAGCTGGCATCAGAGACTATATATGAGCGTCTACTCTTATTGTGCCACAGATGGGCCTCGGTTCATTTTATTCATTACCCATACATTCCCTCACTCCATACAGTGACTATAAATAATCCATCATCTCTACAGCTGGGCTGCAAAAGATAAGCATGTTCCACTGGCTGACGCACCACAGACTTACTATAACTGGATAAAACAGAGCAAAGTTCTACTGTGCAGTAAACAATAGCTGTTTCCTTGAGCTAAAACATCTCTGTACAGATCCTTACCCCGTGTGTTTCTGAGAGATCTCCCTGTGAGACATCTAGAATGGCACCTGATTTAGCTCTGAGGATATCTCTTGCATAGTTGTGAACCCGATACAGCACAGTGAAAAGTATCTCACCAAATTATTGGCCTGAATGTCTTTCAGGGGCCGAGATGAAGAGGACATCATGGAGCCAAGCAGAAGGGTTCACGAAGAGCCACGCAGGCGTATGGAGCAGCAGCACATCCAAGCTCCTTCACAACAACAACAACAACAACAACAACAGCAGCAGCCGCAGCCGCAGCCGGAGCCCCAGCCAGCCCCCATTCAGCAGCCTCCTCAACCCCCCACACCACCACAGGCTGCCACACAGAACCCACTAGACACACAGAGGGAGCTAGCACGTCGCAGAGAGCAGGAGAGGAGGCGGCGAGAAGCGGTGAGATAATTATCTTAAGCACTCTTTAGTTTTATGGAGTTTAATGATGCCAAATTGCCATGTAATAGAAATGATAGTAAATTACAAAGTGAGCATTATTCATAAAGCACCTTTCAAAATAAAGTTTACAACGACAAATCTCAAGTTGAGCACACGCAGAAGCATTAACAGAGTATTATAAGGAGTAATGAATGTAAAGGAAATGCTCAGTGGCTCTTTTCTCTCTCCAGATGGCAGCAACGATCGACATGAATTTCCAAAGTGACTTAATGGCTATCTTTGAGGAGAACCTGTTTTGAGGAGAGCAGCAACTGAAACGCAACTGCAAAAAAAAGAAAAAAAGAAAAAAAACTTGAATGATGTAAACTTCCTCTAAAGAGAGGTTTGGCGACCACGCACCACGGAGGGACACAGACTGTACGTAGATGTGACGGGCCCTCGGGGACTGAGTACAAACGCTGGATGGGCAGTCAGCTTGCTTTGTCCCACCATCACCCTCCTCCTCCCCTTGCGGAGTGAACACACGGGGATAGTCTCATTGTTTCGGATGTCATTTCCTGGGAATTCGGCTTTGCCTCCCTGATATCTCATAACAGGAGAAAGAGGACCCCTGTTGGCACAGTTGCCTTTGTCACACTTGCTTCTTACAGCGTGCGTGGGCGCAACAATAAACTGCAAGAGTAAAGACATCCCAATATCTATGAAAATGCTCTGATAATGTACTGACAGACTGCGCAGAGGTGTTTTGAAGCTGCCAGATGTCTGAGGTGGTGAAGAAGACTGGTCTTTTATGTTCTGTTTCGTTTTGATTGTTGTAAGTGAACACATGAAATGGTTGGGGGCAACTTCCATACTGTAAATCATGTATATTTCTCAGCAGAGAAGGTACAGTTTGCCTTACACCTGTTTCCTAAACAGACCATTATGTTCTGTGGCCTGCACACATGGACAAACCAATAACATTTACAACCAGGAGTAGGAGCTGTGCAGACCTTTTTTTCATCATCTAGTATCTACTGTAAAGAAGTATTTTCTTATACTACAATAACTGTTTATTTTGGATCTTTCTTTTATTTTTTTTCCTCTTTAGGTCTTTTAATCTTCACACCAACACACTCCACCACCTATGTCTATGCCAAACAACCCATTATCTTTTATGCTAAATTAATTGTCCTGAAACATGATAGGTAGCTAGTGACAACAACAACAAAAAAAAACCCTGAATATATGCATTATCATAGTTCCAACAAGTATATATCAGAGACAGAATCAGTTGAAGTTCTCATCCTGCCTTGTATTTTTCATTCAAAACTACAGCAGGAACTAGCAGAGAAGGGAAAGGTCCAACCGTTTCTGAGCTTTAGTTGGAATATGATTTCACTACAAGTGTCACACCATTATTTGTATTACACTTTGAGACAAGATGTTTGAAAATGTCCATATTATTGGCCTGTTCACAACAGTCACACTACTGGATCAGTTAAGATATGAGAAGATAAGGAGCCCCTTGCTGTTTCCCGCTGCGTGCGCTTCGATCTTACCCAAAGGTTTGATCAAACGCTAACGGGCCGAGTGCTCGAGGCAGAAAGTGGACGGTCAGGGGCTTCAAGACAAACACTTGACACCTTTATGTAGCGGTTACTTGAATCGGGTTAGTAACAATAGCTGAAGGGACTAAAAGGAGCTCCCAGTTAGGTTTTGTTTTTGTTTTTTTTTGCATCAAATCGTCTTCTAATTCACTGAGGGCACACTGTTGACAGTACAAAATAAAAAAGGCAAACAATTACAAAAGTTAAGAAACGGAAAATGCTGAAAAAAACAGTTATGATTTATATCTTTGTTCTTGTTCAATAATAGTGGATGTGAGTTATAATGCTGTTTTTGGAGACATTGTTTGGACTGGGGATGGGTTGAAATCCGAATGCATCTCATCCTCCTCACTTGTCTCTTATGGTGTTTTTCTCCAGTGCCTGTATTGTATTGCAATTCTCGTTGGCTTATATTACACTTCGAGGGGGTTTAGAAAGAGGGCGAGTCAGGACTGGGTGGTGTAATATTTGAATGGGGGGGAGATTTTTTGAAAGAGTTTGTGTAAAAAAAAAAATAATAAAAAAAGGAAAAGACAGCATTTTATATTTTACCCGTTGTCAATATTCGGGTTTTAAAATTTAGTTTTAGCTGGACTTCTATGAGTGTACACATCTGACAACTACTTTCTCATTTTGTTCAATCAGCATATTTTAGGTAGATATGTTTCAGCGTTGCCACACTAGCGTTTGAGTCTGGTCTGTGAGTGTGACTGTGTAAATTTGGACGGCTGTGTGACTGTGTGTTTTTTTTTGTTTTTGTTAAATTTTTTTAAAGTGTGGTGCAGGAGGCATGTTCCCCGATGTAGATAAGCATTCTATTGATGAGAATAAACAGATAAACAGTACTTCAGGAGAACTTGTTTCTGTGCTTAAGTCACCTTTTTAATTTCTATGAAGTCCACCATATATGAGTATAGAATTTATTAGACTGGTTTTTGAAAGGGTAAAAAAAAAAAAAAAAAAAAAAAACTTCATTCCTTTTTT